TTCCAACACTGACTTCCACTCTTTTTTTCCATCCTTCCTTTTTCCACCCCCCCATCAGGATTGCGCCCCCGGTTACACCCGCACCGGTGGAGGGCTCTACCTGGGGCACTGTGAGCTCTGCGAGTGCAACGGGCATTCGGAGACCTGCCACCCTGAGAGTGGCGCCTGCTCTGTAAGGACTTAAAAAGGGCTTTTTTGAGGGACTGGGGTCTCATCCTGGCTGTGCACCCCTAAATATTTGTGTGACCCCCACCAGGGATGCTTGCACAACACAGCAGGGGATTTCTGTGACCAATGCGCCCCAGGTTTCTACGGGGATGCCACCGCCGGTACCCCCGAGGACTGCCAGCCCTGTGCCTGTCCCCTCCCGGACCCCGAAAACCAGTCAGTGCTGGTGCCAGGACGGGGGGGAGCCGAGGATGGAAGAGCCAGGGGGAAGGCATGTCCCCATCTCCCCGTGTTCCCCACCAGGTTCTCCAGGACCTGCGAGAGTCTGGGTGGTGGTGGGTACCGCTGCACCGCCTGTGAGCCAGGCTACGCTGGGCAGTACTGTGAGCGGTGAGCATGGGGGCATCCCTATATACCCACCCCTATATACCCACCCCTATATACCCACCTCCATATACCCACCCCAAAATATTCACCTTCATATACTCACCCCAATGACCTCACCCTCATATACCCACCCTGATGTGCTCATCCCACTATACCCACCCCAATACACACACCCCAATATAGCTACCTTGATATACTCACCCCATACTGGCTCTGATAGACCTACCCTAATATACCCACCTCAGTAAGTGCACCCCATATACCTACCCCAAAATGCTCACCCCAGTATACTCACCCCGATAGACCTACCACAATGTACTCACACTGATGGGTTCCCTCTGATAGACCCACCCTAATGGACTCAACCTTATACCCACCCCATATATCCACCCTGATGTGCTCATCCCGTTATACTCACCCATCTGTACTCACCCCAATATACCCACCTCAATGCAGTCACCTTTATACCCACCCATTATACCCACTCTGATGTGCTCATCCTTATACTCACCTTGATATACTTACCCCCATATACGCATCCTGATGTGCTCACCCCAGTATATCTACCCCCATATACCCACCCCTGTATACCCACCCCAATATACTCACACTCATGTGCTTACCCCACTGTACACACTCCAATGAGCTCACCCGCATATATGCACCCCAAAATGCGTACTTGGATATATCCACCCTGCTGTGCTCACCCCAATATACCCATCCCCATATACCCACCCCTGTGTACCTATCCCAGTGTACCTACCCCAGTTTGCTCTCCCCAGTATACCCACCCCAATACACCCACTCTGATATATGCAGCCCAATATGCTCATCCCATTGTACTCATCCCAATATACTCACCCTCATATATGTACCCCAATACACCCATCCCAGTATACCCATCCTAATATACGCACCCCAATTTGCTCACCCCACTATACCCACCCTGATGGGCTCACCCCAGTATGGTCATCCTAGTAAACCCATCACACTATACCCACCCCTATTCCCCCACGCCATACCCCCATACATCCTCTCCCCCTTCACCCTCTGCAGCTGCGCCCCTGGGTACGTGGGTGACCCCACAGTGCGGGGTCAGGCTTGCGTCCCAGCGGGTGTCCAGGTGCCACTGGCCGTCCGTGTCCACCCGCCGCGCACTACGGTGGCCCAGGGCAGTGCCGTCACCCTGCGGTGCCAGGCCACTGGCGACCCCCCATTCTACTACCACTGGGCACCCTCCCTGAGAGTGTCCAGAGCCAGCGACAAGGTACTGGGTGGCTCGAGGGGACACACTGAGGGGTCACCAAGGTTGAGGGAATGTGGGGTGTCATTCATGTGTCTCCCCATCCAGGTGAGGAGCTGCATTTCGCCAGCATCCAGCCCTCGGAAGCCGGTGTCTACGTCTGCTCCTGCCGCAACCTCCGGTACACCAATGCCAGCCGCGCCGAGGTCATTGTCACCGGTAGGTTGTTGTCACTGGTCGGTCAGTGTCACCGAGTGGGAGGGACACATGGTGAGGAGGAAGAGCAGGGCTTAGTTCTCCCATCTCGGCACAGAGACCCCTGGCAAACCCATCACCGTCACCGTGGAAGAGAAGCGGGTGCAGCGGGTGAAGCCTGGGGCTGATGTCACCTTCGTCTGCACCGCCAAGAGCAAGGTGAGGGGTGGGGGGCACAGCACGGCAGGAGGCAAGCGGGCACCCTTGGGTGCCTGTAGGGACACGCAGGGCATATGGATGCCACCCTCTGCCCATTCCCGTGGCCTCAGGCCTCCCCATCTCTGTCCACCCACCCAGTCGCCCGCCTACACACTGGTGTGGACGCGGCAGAACCACGGGACACTGCCACCCGGCGCCGTGGACTTCAACGGGATCCTCACCCTGCGCCGCGTGCGGCCTGAGGACGCCGGCGTCTACGTCTGCACCGGCTCCAACATGTTGGACATGGACGAGGGCACTGCCACGCTCTACGTCCAGGGTGAGCTGAGGCACCAGAGTGGGGGGCACCCTTGATGCCCAGGTGCCAGGGTGACAGGCACACAGGCCACCAAGTTGCTGGGGTGATGGACATGGTGCCCAGATGCTGGGGTGATGGGCACCCTTGGCACTCAGATGCTGGGGTCATGGGCATGCTTGGTGCCCAGGTGACAGGCATGCTGGCTACCAAGGTGCTGGGGTGATGGGCACACTCGGTGTCCAGATACTGGTGTGATGGGCACATTCACCACTCAGATGCCAGGGTGATGGGCACAGTTGATGCCCAGGTGCTGGGGTGATGGGCACGCTGGCCACTAAGATGCTAGGGTGATGGGCACACTTGGCACCCAGATGCCAGCGTGATGGGCACGATTGGTTGATGCCCAGATGCTGGGGTGACAGGCACGCTGGCCACCAAGATGCTGGGGCAATGAGGCTGTTTGGTACCCAGATGCCAGGGTGATGGGCGTCCTTGGTGCCCAGATGCTGGGGTGACAGGCACACTGGCCACCAAGATGTTGGGGCAAGGAACATGCTCAGTGCCCAAGTGCTGGAGTTACTGGCACCTTCAGCACCCAGACTCCAGGGCATTGGGCACACTTGGTGCCCAGACACCAGGGTGATGGGCACCCTCCCCTGAGACCCCCTCCTTCTTGCAGCCCCCTCAAAAACTCAGATGTTTTATGGCCCTGTGGAGTTTATGGAGGGGCACAGACCAGGTAAGTCACCGTGGCAGGGAACTGGGGGGTACATGCTCACCCCCCACCAGCCGCACACCTTGGCTCCACCATGCACCCCACCACTGGCCACGCTGCACCCCTGCTTCCCACTGCCCCCACGCCTGAGCCCAACGCCATGGGGGGGCCCTGGCCAGCCCTGAGCCCCCCTGCTGGATGTCACCACAGCTGCCACCGCCGCAGCCCCCACTGCCGCCGTGGAGCCAGCACAGCTGAGTGTGGCACCAGGGCAGCCGGCCGAATTTCGCTGCGTGGGCACCGGCAGCCCCACACCCACCCTCGAGTGGCTCGGTAGGTGCCCACCAGGGTGGGAAGGGGGCACTGGCACTGGGTTTGGGGATGCAGTAACAGGAGGTGATGCCGGGCTGTGTCCCTACAGGCGCGCTGCCACCACGGGCGGTGGTCCATGGAGGGACGCTGCGTTTCGGTGCTGTGGAGCCGGCTGATGAGGGACACTATGCGTGCCGGGCGCGCAGCAGCGCCGGGCAGCACACAGCAAGGGCCTTCCTCCATGTGCAAGGTGAGCGGTGTCCCCACTGTCCCTGTCATTGCTCTTGTCCCCGTTGTCCCCATGATCCCCATTGGGCTTCTGCCCAATCCCCATCTTCATCCCCATCCCCATCGTCTCATCATCTCTATCATCCCTGTCACCCCTGTTGTCCCCATCGTCGCCACCATCCCCATCATCCCTGTCAGTACCATCATCTCTGTCACCCCCTGTCATCCCCATCACCTTTATTGTCCCCATCATCTCCCATCACCCTGGTCACCCTCATCATCCCCTTCATCCCCCATCATCCCCCATCATCCATCCCCGTCATCCCATTGTCCCCATCATCCTCACTGTCCCTATCATCCTTGTTACCCACATCATCCTCACTGTCCCCATCATCCCCCACTGTCCATTCCTATCATCCCATTGTCCCCACTGTCTCCGTCATTCCTGTAACCCCCATCATCCCCCATCACCCTCATCATCCCTGTCACCTTCATCTTCCCCACCACCCCAGTGTCCCCATCATCTGCATCACCCATGTCACCCTCATCACCCCTGCCCCCTTGGCACCACCTTGACCCCCTCCCTCTTCCCACAGCCCCTGGTGCTCCCCGGGTGCAGGTGAGCCCAGAGCGGACGGAGGTGCAGGAGGGCTCCACGGTGCGGCTCTACTGCCGCGTCTCGGGATCACCCCCTGCCACCATCACCTGGGAGAAGCAGGGAGGCCCCCTACCGCCACAGGTGAGTGGGGTATCCACATCTTTAGGTGATGGCGGGGGGGGGAGGACATGGGTGCACTGTGGGTGCCGCTCACGCCCGTCCTTGTGCCACAGGCGCGTACCGAGCACGCCGACATCGCCACGTTGGTCATCCCTGCCGTGACAGCAGCTGATGGTGGCGTTTATCTCTG